CCTTAATAGTGGGTTCTTGATGTAGTTGCATATGATACGGGTGCATTTTATTTTTGGAAAGTATTCTTTGTACTGACGTATTTCCTGTTCTCTTGAAATATTTCTTATACTTTTATGCGGATTTTCTGTAACTGCTAACAAAACATTTAGTTCATTTTCCTCTTTAGTAACAGTTGTTGTTCTATCAATTTTCTCATATGAAACTGACCCTGTTCGGTTAAATCGATCCATCAGTTTTTCGAACGATGTTTTATTTGGCGTTCTATGCTCTGGAAATCGTTCTTTATAAACTCTCGTTGCTAACAAAGAGTTTTTATTGCATTCTCCCAAAATCCATACCATATCAACTAATTCTTCACGACTATAATTCATATTAAAAACTGACGAGACTTTGTAGAAAACAAATAATGCAACACTAATGACATTAATAATAACAAACTGTCAGTATTGGGGGTTTTCAAGGCCAACTTAAAAAAAAATAATAAACAAAAAATTTAGTAGGTTTCATTTTTAGTTTGTGGTTGCAATGTTTATTTCTTTTTCTAATAAATGTATAAGTGACATTAGATATTGTCAGAAACTTAGTTAGTCGATAATAAATAATTACTTTAGGTTAAATTCAATTATTTACTCATGATAAATAAAATGTATTTCCAATCAATTATTTTCTGAATTATCGTTTTTACCACTAACAATTTAAAAATCTCTAAAAACTATTAACTTTTGGTATAGGGAATGCTTAAGTCAAATTAAAGTAAAATTAGGATACTATTGAACGATGATATAAAATACAGGTTGAACCATTTAAAAAAATTGAGAAAATTATTTGTGTTTTGACTCACCCTGTACAGATTTTGATGCGAATTGAAAAAAGTAGTGTCTCCGGATAAAATTTGACCATGATCGAAAAATTGTGGTAGAAAAAAAAATTGGTTGTCAATTGTTTCTTTTGCATGATATAGGTCATTGAATTCAATACGATTTTCATACAAAACTGATTATATCCTGCAAAATACCTTGTATAAACCAATAATAATTTATATTTTTAGAATGGGAAAAGCGAGGATAATTCAAATATAGAACAAATTACAGGGTAATCCATTAAAAAGAACATAAGTTATTTCATCAGAGAAGTTATTAAACACCCTATATATTTAAAAATAATTTTAAAATATGAAGTTTAACGCTGTCTACCGTTCTGTGAAAATATTTTTTTATATCTCTAATAATGGCGGAGATATTGGACTTTTTCACACTAATGGATCAAATTGTATATTTTTTTATTTTTTTCGTAAAATTAACAGTTTCATGTTTTATCGGCATCCAGAATAAAAATACCTAAAATGAATAATAGATAACTAACGCAGGTTTCCTACAAGGAAATTTGGATTTAAAACCTACAATTAGGAACGATTGAAATTAATAAAATTAACAAAAATACTAAAATATTTTGTATAAATAAAAATTTCCTTGGTTTATTTGAACATTAATTTTATTTTCTATCGTTAGCACAACAGTACCTATGTTTCGGAAAACTTTGTTTCCCTCTTCGGGTGCAGTCAAAATTTAAAAAAAAAAATAAAAAACAGTTTAAAAATGTTTAAAACAACAGAAACCCCATCTTTCAGTTTCAGCTCGTGAATGTGTATTAAATATAAAAAAAAATTGTAACGGAGCTTCACGATGAAAATGCACTGACAAATACCAAAAAGTTATAATACTACTTTTAACACTACTTGTATGATACAAGCAATAGTAAAATTCAAACTATTTCATTAAAAATTTGTTGCATTGCCTTTAAATGCCAATTACATTATTAAAAACTCGTTAAAATGCTTCACAGGTCTAACAACCACAAGACAGGCCACTTAGCCTAGCGTGGTTATAAGCCCTGTAGGACATTTGAGAAATAAGTAAAACAATTTCATGTATGTAATACAATTTGCAATAAATTGAAAAAAGTGACGGCTTGTGCCTTAGCACACAGGAGGTGCCAGGTCACTGCATCACGCAGGTGCTCCGTCGGTGACTAAACATTTGTGGATGCCAAGACCAAATTTTTACCCACAACTCGTTAAAAAACACATTTAGTAGACAGGGTTGGCTTTCAGGTTTTAGATAAATATGTTGGATATATTTCCAACAATTTGTCTCATCATTTTGTGCTACCACTGTATTAGCATAACATTTCATATTGCTAGCTAATTTAAATAATCAATACAATGCAGTACGTCGAATTTTTTCTGTTAAGAAGTTACAAAAGTTATAAATCTTCAACGCTGTTAATAAAACAAAAACAAAACTCGTGAAGTGCTCGATTCTCGAACCATCCCAAGAAGTGTCTATCGTCGGTATACTTGAGGCATTCTTTACGATTATTACGTTCAATGGTTGTGGCAGCGTAATAATGTAAATCACTTAGAAAACTTGAGTTTAAATTACAACGGCACGTCCGCAATAAATAATTGCCGGTCTATTGTTCGAGACTTACGGTAAACTTTCGAGTGCTTATAAAATTTTATAAACTATATTAGCGGATCATTTTTCTTGTTGCTGCTGGCCCCGGTCGGGCTCCATTCGAGCGGCTGGCATGGGAAATAAATCACAAAGAAGCTGTCCATGGAGTGTTTGAACAACTTTACTAATAAGTAACTCGTTTTTTTAGTTCTTTTATATAGAATTTTAATTTCTGGCAGGCATGGAGAAGATAAATTATTCAATGAATGCTCTTACATTTAGACCACATTACTGCGCATGGTTTTCTTTAAGTGCGACAGCTATATAAGATTTCTATTCACTTCAAATTTAATCAGACCAATAAAAACGAAGATATAAGACAGTGCCCTTTAGGCAATGTTACTACGCAGATTTGTTCGTTAAATATGACACATCGAAAGTCTTTTATTCAATAAATATGCAATAATGAAATTAGGCGACAAAATTCAAAAATCGAATAAATAATCATTGAAACTTCTTTTACAAAACTTACTCTTAGTTAAAAATCCGTATTTTTACCAAACAAAGTTCTGAGTTATTAACTATGACTTTGGGACAATTTAATAAAATTAAAAAGCTTTCCATTCCTTTTTCTCAAAAACACGTTAATGTTGTTAGAGATTTAGAGATAACTTTCTTTCATCATATTTGGAATTCCAAAAAAATTATTGTCAGAATTGATGATCATAGATATTAAATTACTGGGTGTTCACACAAAATATTAAATATTAAAAACTAAATTGCAGTTATTTTGCTACACTTCAACCAAAAAAAACCTGCAGATTTTAACAAGTTGATAGGAAAGGTCTATATACTCCTGGAGGATGTACAATTGATCTTACGAGACGTAAGTGCTGTTGAGCAACCCACCCTCTTCACCATGCAGATGCTATTGTTTATCTTCACTACGCAAAAAGCTCCAAAAATGTTTTGAATTACTTTCAAAATTCGAAATTTACATTTTTCCTCAAATATCTCATACACGGTCCATTTTAGAGAAATCATGAATAAGACAATATTTATAGAGAATAACATCACAAGTAACTATTATTTGAACATTTTTTTTTAAATTAGAATTTTCTCGAATAAAGAGCATTTTAAAAAATTATGTAATAAATATTATATAGCAACTTTTATTTGAAGAATTTTCTTTTCCAAGTGTAAATAACAGATATATTCAATAAAATAAAAAAAACGATCCCTATAAAGTACCCCCTAGATGATCTGACTATGCCTAAAATCTAAACAACTAACTGCAGGATGGATTAGAGCTTAATATCAAAATTTTGTGTTTTCCTCTGTATCCGTTCATGAGATAGCGAGTATACAGACACACTCATGCAGTCATTATCGCGAAAATAGTCAAAACGCATTCAGAGGACCTCAAATCGTAAAAATCCGTCAAAACTCGAGGTCGAAAAAAAAAAACGATTCCTATACTTTCCTTATCTGTATACAGACATGAAAGTAAAAATGTAGGTCCGTATTCTAGACAGAATTGTCAATTTATTTACTGGTTTTCTAATAAAAATGAAACGGTTATAACATTATAAAAGAGAAACAACAAATTTCCTTAGATAAGAAAAATTAAATAAGTTTATATTTAGAAACAATTTTAATTAATGAAAAATCAAAAAGAAAAATGTTGAAAGTTAAAAAAATGCCCTGTAGAAACATTCATTGAGAAAAATTGGTCGGCAATTTGAAATTAATTTTTTTATCAAACTTAACCCATACATCCAGACGATACATTTTGATTCTTTTATATTTTATATTACGATTTTTTTTTACGCCCTTGGCAGTCTTGGTCTCCGCTTCATCTGATCTAATATAATAGGCCTTTGCGCCTGTCCCTAATAATATGCTGATAGCCTGATTTGGACACTCATCTTTAAAACTCCTCAATATTGGTTTACTTATTAGCAGGTTAAATTTATTATCCGTTTTATAACTAGATGTATCAAAATGTTTAATATTTCTATTCATAAATTCATAAAAATTCATTGAATTAATTTTAAGCACAAAATTATCAGTATCTGTGTAAAGTAAGGAAATTTTATCACCTAATAGTAAATAGTAGAATTTTATGCTATTTATATATTTTTTAAAACTTTTAGATCTGCATATTATAAAAGATATGTACTTTGAAAATATAAAGCAATGATTTAAGGGTGAGATTACAGAAAATGCAACTTTGCAGATCTGCAAATATGGCGGATTTACAGATGAAAGATACAAGTCAAGGATACTTGACTTTCTATAGCTAAGTCCACCATATTTGCAGATGTGCAAAATTGTAGACGTGGTACATTTTCTGTAATCTCACCCTAAATCATTAAACTTATTGATTGAATCTTTTTTTACCATGATTTCTATTATGTTTACAACTATCATTAATAAAAAAATTGATAATTTGCCATGAATCTTTTCAAAAATTGCAATTATTTTATATTTTTTTGTATAAATACGTACAAAATATCTACTTATAATTTATTTTGTTTCAGTTTAAAATTGGAATGTGAAAAATTGGCAAGCGAAAAGATAGAAATTCAAAGACATTACGTTATGGTGAGTACAATAATTTTTTGTTATACGTTCGACTAAATCTTCAAAAATTCCATGTTGGAGCAGTCGTTGTTGGTGACTACTGGCAAATTTTTGTATTGTATTTTCAACAGTCTCCACTTTAAGGTTTCTATGAAGATCAATATTGCTGTTATACCAGGATCCATCGACAATGTTCCTTAATACTTTATTCTGGAAACGTTGAATAACTTTTACTGACACAGCCCCAAAGCTGATTGATGCATTTATTTTTCTTTTCTGTATTTCTCACCTTCTTCAACTTTTCTTTGGTTTGTTTTCACTTTGGGTGAATTGGGGATTATATATTTTCATATTTCCAACCAATTTTCTCACCTTTCTTTGTTAATCAATTATTTACTGTTGTAAAAATAAAGATGTACGTTTAAATCTTTTTCATTAAACAATATTATTTTTCGTCAATTTGACGTAGCGTACCGATTTTCCGCCAGAATCAACACCGACACGACCGCGGTGCCACTGATTGCGAATCAACATTATATTTTCCAATGGAACTATAGCGAATCGCTGAGGCGGTTTTCCAGCCGCCCGATTCGTCCGAATTGTTTATTAAAATTGTTAATCACACGGTAGACGGTTCGAACGATATAAATGCTTTTCAATTACATTTCGTTTGATATTCATTAATGCAGAATTTAAAACTTGGCTATGCACAGCATCGTGTTAATAGACACGAATTGTTATCAGGTTTTTTTGTTGCTGTTTTCACGATACGTTGACGAAATGTTATTAAAAAACATTGTTAAAAACTTTGCACCGTGAAATATTTATATTGGTTCGATAGGTTGGTTGGTTTCAGCCATATTGGCTTTATTGCAATCGGTTATTTGTTTTAAAATAGGTAACAATGATTGTCAATTACGAGTTTATTTGATATTCATTGGCGGCGGTTTTTATGGAAATTAGTTTTTAAAGTTTTCCTAATTTTGACTCACTATTTTTCTCTATCTCCTTGTGTAAATCAAAATATAATGTTTGGAACCATAAGACATTATTGTTTACACTATTACGTCGTAAAAAAAGGAAAGCCTAACTACGAAAGATCGAGTAGTTTTTGATGCTTCGGCAAAAACGAGTACGCGTCTGTCACTAAATGACGTACCATATTGGTTCTACGTTTCAACAGTATGCATTATCAATTTTAGTAAGGTATTGCACTCATAAATATGTAGTAACAACCGATATTTCTTAGAAATATCGATAAATAATGGTCGAAGAAGGTAAGAGAAAACTTCAAAAGTCGAAAAGAAGAATTTTCTATTTTTCCCCAAATCTGGGGAAATTTGTAGGTGTGGCAATGTCACAATACATGGGGAAGATGGTCAGTATTTTTACATTTCCCCATATGTCGAGCGATTTGCAGCCCGCAAAACCACAGAAGACGGCAACGCCGCATTGAAACACAATGAACCGAGCGATAGATAAGACAGATAAGACCAATTCCGGCGCACGGTTATAGTTAAGAATCCAAGATGGCGGTTGGACATATGTCAACGGGGTGGTGGAGGAGAGGCTATGGTAGGATAGCCTATTGGCGTCACCTGTCACAGCAAGGTACCCAAGCATTTAAGTAAAAAGCTAAGGACGAAGCAAACGGCAAAGAAATTTATAAAAATTGGCATCAAGAAGAGTGTTGTTTACTGTCAGCTGTCAAAATGATACGAAGAGAGGCCTAGAACTAAGAGACAGCTATATAAAATGACATAAACGGAATCATTGTCAAAAGGACAAAGTCATTAACAACTTTAAAGTGTCTAATATTGCAGAATAATTTAACAAAACCTCTCATGACAAGAGACGGTGATGTATCATTGTCACAAAGCCATTAACAACATTAAAGTATCAACGTATCAACAACGTCGAAGGTAATTATGCGTTTAGTAATAGTCTTAGCTATTGCAGAATAATCTAATGTATTAAAAAGACACATTCGGTGGTACCAAAACAACATAGTACTAACATAATTATATCCATTGATGTATCCAAATAAAAATCACCTTAACACAAATTTCCCCAGATCTGGGGAAAAATAGAAAATTTGGGATCAAGTGTCTTCTCTTCTACTTTCAAAAAATATTATGGCCGACGGAGCTAACACAGTACTTAAAAATAAAATAAATATTTGTTTTTGGTATGTCCTCTTTTCCCTACTTAGCAGTTAAATGCTTGTCTTAATTGACTCAATAAAATAATTTTAAGAAAAAAAAATATAATCACAAAACATAAATATTTGTCAAATTCAAAGATCATAAAAAAATGTTAATAGTTCTTTGGAATGCTTATAATGGGCACCAACCTTCCTAAATCAATTATAGGCATCAAAATTTAATTGTATGTGACCCAATACCTGAATCATCGAGTCTCATATATCATAAATTTAGATCTTATTACCTCCCGTGACAAGTTATCTTGCCTAAAATACCGTAAGAAACGTCAAAGATGCCAGAAATGACGAAGATGGCGGATGGAGGAGCGTTTGCGTGCCTCGGAGTCTTTCATTTAATGGCGTACATAAATTCTAGCGAATATTCCGGGCGAGAAAGGCCACCGAGAGACCATCATCATCATCGGATCGGGTTTAGCAGATAATCATAAATTATATTTAACGTCTAATTATGGTAACTCGGGCGTGGAAACTCGATTTTAAATTATAGACCAGTTCGTCAAGAATAAAAATGATCGTACACGAACATACATCGATTTGTGAGGCGTTTCCTCCTTTTTTTGAGAAAGTTTATTAAAAATTGGGGTAATTATACAGTGCCATCATTAAAATCATATGGTATTTATTTTTTAAATCTAAATCTCAACATATCAACACAGTAAAAATTTGGATAAATGGTAACCAGTAAATCAAAACTCTACAGAAAATAAAATACTATTTACATAAGTTTATTTTTAATTTTTTCTGTTTGAGATCAAATTTGTTACTGCACACACACACGCGCACAAAATTAGGAATTAGCTAGCTAGGTTACTTTTGTAATCAGGGCAGACCACCCTGAAAAGGAGGATAACTCCTATAGCAGGGAAATAGGAAAACAATATGTCCTAGAAAATGTAAAACACTTAAGATTTCCGCTAATAAATCAAAAAAAAAAAAAAAAAAAAAAAAAAAAAAAAAAATCACTGCCTTCTGCTGTTTTTTTTATAACGATTTGTATACTGACTAAAGTATGCATTAAAATTCGTAAAATTGTTCTTGAAACAATGACCGCACACTCATACCTACTGATTGTTGTTTGAAATAAGTTAACTTAATAAAATTGATCGTATACAAAAAAAAACTAGTAATTCTTGTCTTACGTTAACTCATCAGAGGGAAGAAAAGTAAAAACAGAGGTTGTAAATCGTTGACAAATATGTGACAGCACTTAAAAATTTCACTACAGAAATCTAGCTCGTAAATTATATTGTTCTACGAGCTGTGCTCAAAAGGTCACTGTTTAATATACTTTCTCTCTTTCTTTGAATAACAAATATAAATACAAAAATAAAATCATAACGTTAATAGTCCATTTCGCTCTTCTTTATATTCTGGCTAGTAATTTAGGTTGTGGTTAATTTGGACAAAAATAAGTTCATTTAATCCAATTTACCTTAGTAGAATTTTGATTGCTTAAGAAGTTACAGGGTGGAAAAAATATTTTTTTTTTTAATATTTTTACGATAATTTAAATATTTTTTTGAGTAAATATATCCAAATTTTGTAAAAGTAAGTTTTTTTGGGTGATACAAACGAATACCAGCTTTTTTGTTGCATTTCATGTACTGGGTGTTCTAAACTGACGTGCCAATCTAGTATTTACTTCATAATCTGAAGTAAATACTAGTTTAAAATATTTGAAGTATCGTAAAAATATTAAAAAAAAAACTTTTTAAGCAAGGTAAATTGGCTTAAATGAACTTATTTTTGTCCAAACTAACCACATCTGAAGTTTGTTCCATTCTTTAATAACCATCCTGTAGATAAGTAGTGTTAACATAGCTGAGGAATTTAAATAATACCTAAGTCGATTTTTTGGATAATTTTGATACAGTTGAAGTTTTGGAATATATTGACCTTACATCATTAAAATTAACAAATGAAAAATATTGTATACAGAGTGGTATTTTTGAAATTGATAACTAACACTATTGATAATTGTTAACATAATATTAGGGGCTATATCCCTGTACAGACCGTCCCATTACCGACCGCGACCAAAAACTACCTGCTCGAGTGCCACTACCGCCCGCGCAGGGTTTACTTATTTTTTGTATATCCCACTACCGACCACGAGATTCTATCACATAATAAATATGTTGTAGTTCTGAAAAGAACTGATTTTGTTTTAGTAATTTACATTTTAATAATTATTGATAAGGAATATTCTTATTTTATTGTGGGCGGAGCTTACCTAGTATTAAGATGATTGATTTCTAGATGTATTTGTGACGCCTATGATTAGTAAGTATTCAAAGTTATTTTTGATTGCAAATGAGGATGAGTGATTTCTGTTCAGCAGGTACTTATGAATGTTTTGATGTCATTAGTCAATTCATGACACATATTATTTATGATTGTTAATCTTCGTATTTATTAATTTATTTTTAATTTTATTTCCGAAAATAACCGGGTCAATTGATTTTCTTATTGTTCAATTATAAATTAAATAATAATAATAATAATAATAATTTTAATAATAATAATAATAATAATAATAAGAATCCAATGTATAATATTACGGGGAGCGTTTAAAATAGTTTCTAACTGAAAGCGAAATAAAAATATTCCTTATAAGTAGAGGGCGGAATATATGCATCAAAATATAACAAAATATGCGCATATATATGCATCGTTTTTACCAAAAATATGCAGTTATTTTGTCCAATTATGCCTAAATATGCAAATGCATATTTGTTAAAAATAGTTAAAAAAAAGTAAGGGATGGGTAGCTCAGTGGTTAGTGCGTTGGCCTGTG